TCAACACACACACACAAACACACACAAACACACACAAACACACACCACACACATGTGCGCATGCACACAACCACGCAAACATACACACACACACACACACACACACACACACACACACACGACCCAACCCTCACGCCCAAAGGTCCCTCTGGCCTGGATCTTCAACACTGGCAACACCCACTGGACAAACGACGCCCCTTCCTTTGAAGGCTGGAAGTGCGGCGGCCCTGGAGGCTGCCAGGTCCTGGACGGTGCGCTGCGCCACAAAACACACGCGCCCGCACGTGCGCGCTCGCGCGGCCGGCCGTGTGCGCCGCGTGACTCCCCACTATCGGAGTCGCAGCAGGGGGATGAGGGGCCCAGCGCAGGGGCCCAGCGCGGCCCACGCAGCCGGGCTTGAGGAATTGGGTCCCGCGGGCTGGGATCTGGGAGCCTGAGGGATGTTCCAGCCCCGGCCAAGCGCGTTCCGGCTGCTCTGCTCCCTTGGGCCAGCCACCTGGCGCCGCGCCGCGCCACTGGTTCAACTCCTCGGGCCTCTTTGAGAGGGGCCGGAACCTTGAAATTTTTAAAGTGAATTTCAAAATAACACATACCTGCATTATCCACCTGAATGAGATCGTCTGCAAACGGACACTTTGGTATCACCCGTCGGCAATGTCGTAATCACCATGTTCCTTGCCCCGTATCCACCCCCCCCCCCAGGCCCCACCCAGACCCAGATCTACTGGGAGGCCCAGGCGGCCTGGTACGTCACACTCGTCATGTGCCAGTTCTGGCACATTTTCATGGTGAGAACTTTGCACCCCTCACACCGGCACGCTCCCCCCACCCCCGGGACAGGAATGGGGATGCCAGGGGCGGACGACGCGCCGCTAGCATTGCAGCGGGCAGGCCCCAGCGACCGACCCCGCCCGCGTCGTAGCTTGTGACAGCAGCGCCTGGATTACCCCCCCCCCTTCTCATACTCTCTTCCTCTTGTCCGCGGCCCTCTGCCCGGCCTGGGCTCGTTGTGCGCCCACCCGCCCCGCGCAGTGCAAGACGCGCCAGGTGTCCATATTCCGCCACGGCCTCTTCCGCAACCCGGTGACGCTGTTTGGCGTGTTGATCAGCATCGGGACGATCCTCGTCATCACGTATGTACCCTTCCTGCAGGTGAGGCGTGGCGTGATCGCGCGCGCGTGTGTGTGTGTGTGTGTGTGTGTGTGTGTGTGTGTGTGTGTGTGTGCGCGCACGCGGGCACCCTGACCCTAAACCATAAACCCTGTGTGTGTGTGTGTGTCTGGCGAGAGGCGTGAGTTGATGAGGATATTATTGACTTCAATTGTTTGTGCGTCAGCACATGTTTCCTTCAGTGCGCACGTGCGCACATGCAAATCTGCAAGCCCCGGCGCTCGCTTGCGCGCCCGATCGTCATCCTGCTCCTCCTGCCTCCGGGATCCCTACTAAAACCCCACGCCGCCTCACCCCACAACACCACTGCGCCCCCCCCCCTCCCCCGCAGCCCATCTTCACCACGGCCTCCCTCAACGGCGTCGGCTGGCTGCCTCAGATCGGCTTCCTGGCGCTGGGGCTGCTCTACACGGAGGCCTCTAAGCGCCGCGTCCGCCGCGACCCGGAGTCGTGGTGGGCGCGCAACATGCAGTGGTGAGGGGCCGCCGGGGACAGGAGCACGCGCCGCACGCTCCCCGCCGCCGCCACCGCCGCCGCGCCCGGCCGGGCCGGGCGCGGGCGGCGTGGCGGCCGCGGCGCGGCGTCTTGGGGCCCCTGTGCGGGGTGTCTTGCATCGACTATCTTATGGATGCGGAAACAGCAACGAGCTCAGAAACGGCCGAATTCAGGCGTGCGCCCGTGCCTCTCGGGGCGACCGCGGGGGCGGTCGCAGCGGGGCGGGGCGGGCGCCGTCCCTTTGCCCTGCCCCGCGCGGATCGCTGTTGTTTGCCGCACTGCTTGCCTCAACTTATGCTTTGCTGCTTGCTTGCTTGCTCCTTTGTGGAGGGGATCAAACGCCCTCCGGGCCGCTTGCGGTGCGGCCCGGCCGCTTTCGATCTGCCTCTCAGCACATGCACAGAACCGCACCAACGCACGGCACGCGCGCCAGCTGCAGTCCTCGCTCCTCCCGCGCCAGCCAGCCCGTGGGACCCCCCATATCATTCCCCATTGCCGTCGCCGCCCGCGGGCCCGCCCGCAGCCCACGGTGCTGCAGCCCACGTCGCGGCGCCCGCGGGCCGGCGGCGTTTTCCAAAGCAGCTGCATGCCATTCCCCGTCGTTTCCCGCCATACGCACGCTTGCATGTTATTGCATGGTACTGCATGCCAGGGGCCGGCCGCCAGCGCCTCCCTTGGAGGCATAGGACCCACAACCGATGGCGTTTGTTGTGCGTCGCCGCCACGCATTCCCGGCCAGCCGGTGGGGCAGCCCGCTTCCATGCGCTGCGCCGGCTTTGCTCAATGCCCTCCGGCCTTGCCGTTGTCGCGAACGGCTGGCCAGGCAGCGGCGCGGGCCCGGGGGCGCCCGCAGGGCTGGCTACCAGCCGCCGCAAGCAGCCCCGCGTCAGGCCCTCTGGAGCGCGGTGTGTTTGCTGGCGCGTCGACTCGTTTCTCACTGCGCGCAAGCAAGGGTGTGATTCTTCAACAGACCAGCGGAGCGTACGCCCCACCTCCAACCCGCCTGTTGAACTGCCACCTTTTCTCGCGGCCCGAGCGCTGGCCATTCCCCCGCTGCGCTAGGGGCGAGCTTGCTTGTGCGGCCGGCGCTGGTCTTGGGGCTCCGCACTACCCTGCACCCTCGCGGCTTGCCCGCACAGGCAGCTGCTCATGCCTGTGCCTCGAGCGGGCGCCCTGCACAGCCGGCCAGTAACAACACTGATTCAGGCGGGTCGCACCACTCTCCAGTTCTGGAAGAGAGAAAAAGGTTGAAACGCTCGCTCCCTCTCCCCCGTGAATGTGTGTTTCGTGCGGCGCGGCGGATCGCGCGCCGCCAGGCCGCATGGCAGGAGGCGTCCCGCAGTGGCGGCGGGGCGCAACGCAATGGCCGGGCCGCCGCCGGCGCTGGGGGCCCTCGTCGTCGCCGTGGGCCGAGTGGAAGCGAATGAGAGGCGCTGCGATTGGGACGGCACAGCTGCCCAGGGTGCCCACGGGGAGCGTGAGACATCCAGACGCTCTCTGGCGCAGCAACCAATCAGGCCCGAGCCCGCAAGATCGTGCGTGCAGCCATCGCTCAGGTCTCCGCGGCAAGGGCGCCCCTCACAGTGGCGCCGCTCCGCGACTCACAAAGGTAGTGGTGCGCGCGCGTGTGCGCGCCAGCGGTTCAGGGCGGCGCTGCAGGCAGCGACGCGGATGCTCTGGTCAATAAGAACTGCTGCACGCCGCTCCTCAACAGTATCAATCAGTCTCCCTCCCCCTGCCTGCCTTCGGGGCAGCCAGGGCGCGTGCGCGTGTGCGTGTGCCTCCTCTCGTGCACGTGAGCGCGTGCGTGTGCACGTGCGGCCCTCGTGGGCAGGTGTGCATAGTTCCATCCAGGTTTGTGCAAGTGTGCGAGAATGTGCCTGTGTCATGGGCCGCCCTCGTGGGGCTGGCTCGTTTCGGGGCAGCCGGGGGGGCCTGGTGGCGCGGCGCAGACAGGATGGCCTGGCGCAGCCGGGTGGCCATCAAAAAGCCACGAGCCGGTGAGGCGGAGCGGATGAATCGACGTAACGCAGCCCGGTCTGGCCTGGCCTGGTCTGAAATCGGATATGGCAACCTCGGAAGGGTCCGTGGGAGCAACAAGGGGCCGCTTGAAGGGCCAACCAACTTGAGCCATGCCTTCTTGCTTGAGGATGGGCAACCATCACATTGACACGCAGTGGTGTGTGTAATTGTGTGCGTTTGTGTGTGCGCACGCGCGCGCAGCCTCGGGTGCGTGTCAGCCCGTGCGTGTGCGTGCGTGGCTGCGCCAGTGTGCGCATGTGTTGCGCCCGTGTGCGCGTGTGTGTGCCTGAGCCCGGCTGTGTGTATATGTGGTGCGAGTGCTTTCTGTGTGCGTCTGGATGTGTGTGTCTGGATTGTGTCTGAATGTGCGTGTGGATGCGGGTGTGGGTGTGGGTGTGAGTTTGTGTACGTCAAGGCAACGCAAGCTGATTGTGGACTAATCAACACAGAAATCGCAGTGTGCGCTCTCACACCGCTCCAACACCGCCGCACGCGCGAGTGCCCGCGCCGGACGGCCTCTCACCCCGCCTCAACGCGCGCCCACTCATTCGCAGGGGGGCCGCTTCGGAAGGCTCCGCGGCTGCGCGGCAGCTGCGCGCAGAACTGATGCTCTGGGGGGGCACAAGGGAAACCAACATAGGCCAGGCCGCTGCTGCAGATTAGGGAACAGAACCAGTGTGGCGAATTTGGTGCTCGCGCATCCTGATTATGGGAATGGTGTGTGCCAGCCCTTTGGCGGGAGGGCGGCTGTGATCGATGAGGAGCAGACGCGCGGCGACATGGGCTCGCGCCGCGGGTGCCAACTTTGGCGGGACCAAGGCCGCAACTTTGGGGGCCGGATGCATTTGTCACGCCGCGATAGTCTGGGCGTGTGTGCTGATGAAGGCCGAGAGCGGCTGCCATTCAAAGGCCGCACAAAACGCAAGTGCCGCGACTCAGCCTAGCAACAGCGCGCCGGCCGGGCGCCCCCCCCCCTAGACTGGAGGCGGGCCCGGGAAACGAAATCAGGCGGCCGGCTGGGCCGGGGCAGTGCAATTCGGAGGCTGCGCAGCCGTGCGGCAGGCGGGCCGCGGTTCACCCGTCGCCCGGAGGTGCGCCCCACGACCGCAACCCTCGAGCTCGTCGTTGGGCCCCTCTCACTGTGCGGCCCCTCGGAGCCTCTCGGACTTCCTCTCGTCAGCGCTCTCTCTCTCCCGCCTCCCCCTCTCCCTCCCTCAACCCCGCGATTCTTCCACTCCAGGGCTCACTCGTCTCCTGCCTCGTTCAAAGTCTCGCTGGCACCCTCCCTCAAAACCACACGCCGTCGACACGCCGCCCTACGCCGCCGGGACGGCGGCGCCCGCCGCGAAGCAGCGCGCCAGGCCCCGCAGGCGGCACGCCCAAAGCGTCCCTGCGCGCGCGCCCACTGGCGGCGCCCCGGTCGCAGCGGCGGCGGCGATGGGCGCGCCCGGCGCGGCCGCGGCCGCGGACGCGGCCGCTTGGTTGGCCTGCGGCGATTCTTCTTGGCCCCGGCCCATTTCCTGCGGGTCCTTCCCATACGCGCCGCCCCATTCGCTGCCTGTCAGGCTGCTGCCGCGGCTCTCCACAGACTCCAGCTGACCCGCGGGCCCCAGCGGCGGCTTGGCCGCCCACAGCGGCTTCGACGCGTCCCCCGCGCGCCCGCGGCCGCCCGCCGCCGTCCCGCGCGCCTCGGGCTCGGCCGGCGGCGGCGGCCCGGTTGAGCTGCCGGCGTGGGCGGTCGCGCCGGTGCGCCCGTCGGGGCTGGGCAGCGGCGGCCACGAATCGGCGGAGTCGCACACATCAAACGCGACGTCATTCAGATGGTCGACCCTTGCCAGTGCGCCCAGCCTGACGCCCTCAACGCACACCGCGCCACCCCCGCTGCTGCGCCGCCCGCCGCCGCCGGCGCCGCCACGGCGGCCCGCGCTGCGCCGGCCGCCGACGCAGCCCACGCCGCCGGCGCCGCCGGCGCAGCTGGCGCCGCTGTGCCAGCTGGCTGCGTGGCTGCTGCTGGGGCTGCCGGCGG